ACCTTTTGCTAACCCCCCCCCCCCTCCCCCATCCCGCAAAAAAGCTTATTCTCTTTCTCGGTGCGCTAGAACCCCTTCTAATTTAAGCAAACTGTAAAAATTATAGGCTCGATACAAAAGGCCTCCAACCCGCCTTGCTTACCAAGTTCAGTAGGCTTCCATCAAATGAAGCACTGGGCTCTTACTTTGTTAACATAAGACGTAAGGAAGATTAAACACAAGTCCCACCTCATTCCAAAATTGTCCCATCTGATGATACCAAAAAGCTAAAAAAAACTCATTAAATGTTATGCCATGTGCCAAAGACGGTGTTGTGGACTAGAAGGCAGGCTGTTGTCCAGAGGCACTACTAGCTCTTGTTGTAGAACGAATGAATGATTGTTAAGGAGTAGGGAGTCATGATACGGCCAGCGGTATAATCTCGAATTCCTTGTGCTGTCTCTCGGCCAGCACTTAGTAAGCGAGGCCTATTGAGATGCATTTGGTAAACTGAACACCTGGAATTGCTTTACTTCTTTCGTTACTTTTTGAAGATAAATTTATTTACTTTCGGAAAAATAAATAAATAAATTTCCAAACAGGTAAATTTGCGTTTTCTTTTTCTTACTTAGGTACTTATTTTGATAGAAAAATGGATACTAAACTTTTACCAACAAAAATACTAATTAATTCTATAACTTATTTTCCAATCAGGAAAAGTACTTATAACTTTTATAAGCTCCGACTTCTCTTCCCTTAAAATAGCTGTTTTAAACACAACATAAATAAAATCATATCTTACACGTCACATTAGTTTAACAAAGCAGGGATAGTATAGCAGGTAAAAATTACGGCTATATAGGTTAGAAAAACGCAAACATAGTCATTCAGATTATCCAAGATGCTAGAATGTACAAGGAAACACGAAAAGTTTTCAGAGATTTGCATATCTATTACGATAGAATCTCGATTCAAGCCTGACCATCTTAGTCCCTTGTACTGTTCTTAAGCCACTCCAAATACGGGAGGTTGCCACCAGTTATTGGCAGAGCAATGACTTCAGGCACCCTATGCACAAAAAGCACAACAGTCAAAACAAAGCAAGCCCACTTTTTCTTAGTCAGTACAAGACAATTTATTAGCTTTTTCCAATACACCAATCGCCTGCAGGCCTATTTTTCTAAGCTTCGTCGGAAATAAAAATCATCTCCATGTAAACCATGCGAAAGGGAATAGAACCCCTATCTCCAGAATAGATATATGCATTCATGTCATAAGCAGAGCACCCAAGTGCAAATTAGTTTAAACACACGTGCATTAATCCTTTCACGGATTCTCTAGATCAAGCAAAACACATCACTCATTAACATTAGCTGTCAATATCTAATATATCATATATTCACTTTGCATGATTAGTCGAACTACTAAATTACATTCTTCAGCAATATTTACATTTTCCCTATTTTTACCAATCTTTTTACCAGCAATTATTTAACAAAGAAATTAGCAATGAGGGAAACACTTACTCGTATTCATGATTCTTTCTCACATGCTCTGTCAAAGCATCCAAGAGAGACTCCCTGGTCTTGATTATGAGCAGTTCCTCAGAATCCGTTTGTATCTGTTATCAAAATAGGGGGAAAAAAAACACTAAAATTTAGGCAAAAAGTCGGCAGCTCCAGTACCATATTGAACCATGTGTGTTTTGTTTCTAAAATATGTTGATGAAACTTTACCTCTCCCTTCCACTCGTAAACTGATTCTACACCTGCATACAGAACACAAATAGTTAATTTGAACTGAGGATCAAAAAGCTTTTGATGTAATATATTGAATGGCAGGCTGACTAGTGGAAGACTACACAAAGACGAGCAATTGCACACATTTTTTTTTTTTTTCCATTTAAATCACAGTCAAAGATACGCCAATTTTGTATCTACAAGAGGAATTGGAGTACCCAACACAGTTGGAAGCATCCATAACAAACAACTCATCCTCTAATCCACTTTTTATGAACGATGAACACAATAAATGCAGTTTTTGACATCCAAGGAAACAGAGCCTAAAATTGAAATTACAGTAATGTCCAGTTCTAAAAAAATTCCTTGTTGTCAAACATGTAAGAGAACTTGAACCAAAACTGAGGGAACAAGAAAACAATAGGGTTTTCATAGATTGACTGCAACAACTGGCATGCCTCCTATAAACTTGATAGACTATCACAGAAAAACGCATGAACCTCGTAGTCTTTTCAATGGCTGAATGATGTGCACGAAGTTTCTCATTAAATGTCTAAATTTCAGGACAGGACATGTTCAGTGACAGTAATTTCAGCAGCCAGTTCCCAAGCTGGCTAAAGAGAGGAAAAATGTCAGCATCCAGAAATTCAACGCTTTTCTGGAGTATTCCCAATCTTGTGATTTTGCAGTCCTGAACCAATCTCATTGAGACTTAGTCCTGAACCAATCTCATTGAGACTTACTTTCAATAGAAATAAAAAAATCATCCTGAATTGGTCGGGTAATTTCAATCCAGATTCAAGATAAACGAAGTGGAACAGATTTCAAGTCAACATTAAAATAAACCAGTTCTTTGAATAGCTAAATGTCAATATCCATCAACTTGAACAAATGAAAGCATGTAAAAGTGCAAAAATATGTAGGATGCTTACTCCCCAAGGATTGAAGCACATACCTGGCACTCGATTAACACATGCTGCAAGCCTTTCTTTGACAATGCTTTCAGCAAGTTTTTTACCTGATCCCAATACAACAAAAGAAATCAATAGACAAGGACTGTTTCCAAATAATAATTTCCATATACACGATCTTTCTTAGTATATACACACATTTAAAAAGATAGATCAACCAAAAATTAAGAAAATATTAAACAGAATTAGGTTTTAAGGTGTAATCAGTTTAAGTCATCCTTGAACTACAAAACCAAATAATTGGGAGGCTCGGTGAACAAATCACAGAAAGGGTGGATGCAATGCCAAAGCAACAGTAACAGAGCTTAAATATTTGAAAATTATACATGTGTCAACAGTAGTCAAAGCTTGATAAAAACTTTATGGAAAAGGCCCCAAACACACTGCAAAATTCTGTCTATAAACTGTGTAGTTCAACCAAATTTAGCAATTCTATGATCCCCAATCATCAGAATGATGTAAGTGGGTTGGGAGGGGAGTGAAATACGTACCTGCTTCTTTGTTTGGAACGGTAACATATGCAACGATGCAGGGGACTGTCTTGCTATTTGTTTCCATTTTTATACAATGATTGTTCCTATGCTGTGATCTAAAAAGTCAAGAAAAAATTCAACCTCATACGTTAATTTTCACTATGAAACATATTTCCATGAAAATGATATGCATACATTTTCCTTGTTATCAGGCATGTAGAGTGAAATATTACCGTAAGCGAGGGACTAGGGGGAGGGACTGAGCACAGCCCGTTTTGGAGGAGAAAGAAATATAAGGGCAGAGATTGGAAAGACCCAAACTAAGCACACAAAATGCACCCACCAAAGGGAGTCGTCGACGAATCACTGTGGAGGAGACAATGGATGAGAGTCTCAATGCCATGTGAATTTGCAAATTGGGTTGGCTTTATAGGGATTATTATTACCTGATACCATAATGCAAAACTAAGCATTTGAAACCCTCAAGGAAAAGAGAGGAATCCTACTTTCCCAGTTATGTAACTTACCAGACCAGTGGATCCAATACAAATTCCAACATTTCAAATTGTAACAGCATTCGATATTCAAATTATGAACAGAAAGTATAAAACGTGAAAAACCAATTATTCACCTATCATCACTAAAGAATATAAAATATTTTGGTTCGAAGAAATCATGCCACTCATAGATGACTTTCCTATTCTACAGTTTCGAAGAAAAGGGCAAATATTCATAATGTAAGCTATCTATCTACAACAAAGTCCGAAAATTATAATCCAGCAGGTAAAACCTTATTCCAATCAATACTTTGGCTAGACCCTGAACCTAATTAAAACAATTTGGCACATCTATTTGTGAGTGCATCTCAATAGATTCTACTAAGTCTAGCATCAAATAACAAGCAGAGCTCAGTTCACTAGCATAGGTATAATAAACAGCAATAAGCACGAGAAAATCAAAATTATAGACAATATATACAGGATTCTCGTGCACAGTCAACCAGAACTTCTTGCTTTCAAATTTAACGCAAAACCCTAATGAGAATGGAAATTTTACTGGATTTAATCCAAATTCAAGAAGAGGAAGAAGAAATGACTCTGTTTGTCGATGAGGTGAAACGAAGAAGACGAAGAAGCGAACCTTATTGCCGAAGGATGGAAGATTGTAGCAGCTCGTCTAATTTGAGGTTAAAAAGATCATTATTTTAAGCCTTTGATTGGTTTTGCTTAATTTGTCGAAAAAAATTAAATGGCAGCTATTTGACAATTATTCTTTTAATTTTTTTATACTTATTTTTAACCACACATTCTCACAATAAAATAATTCTAGTGTAAACTCAAAATTTTTGTTTACGTTTTACTCACACGTTCTCCAAACAAAGAAAAGATTACTATTAAAAAATTCATCTTTCTCAGAAATAATTGTCAAGGGACTATAATTTAATTACAGCTGTAGAAAGCTTTTGAACCATGAATTTTATCAATTATTATCAAAAACTGATTTTTAAAGAAATAGTAAACATTACTCGGTGGATGATGCTACACTGTTCGTAACGATTATGAACACCTCATTATGTACGAATAACCAGGAACTAATTTACATGCTTTACATATACCAAGTAAATTATAAATATAAATAATTTCATATTTAAGGAAATAGTGACCAAAAGCAATTGTACTTTTAGGGAAATTTGCAGCTAGGTCCCCAAGCATTGACCTCAGTAGTATTTGGGTACCTAATCTTCATTTTTTTTCATTTTAATTCTCCTAGACATACATTAGCTTTGGTGCAGTTGCATCCCTGGTCCCATTTTGGCCCTCATTTTTTAAAAGTTATTTTTTTACCACTCATTTCATAGGATTCATTACTTTTATCAACTTTTCAAACATATATTTCATTAAATTTTTTATCAAAATCTACTAAAAATCTAATTTTTATTCAAACCCAATAAGAGTTTGGTAGATAGTTATCGTCCATTCTGTTGTGAAACTATCGAATACATTACATATGGGCTTATTTTAAGGACATGTTCGTCCACATCTTTTCACTCGAAAAAAGAAGTATAATTTATTGGAATTAATGGTTTAAATAGATTAAATTTAATATTATTAATAGGTGTGAATTGAATACGTCTTTAATTGGTGCAATGATTAGTCACGATTTTTTAAGTGCAAAAACGTGCATATCAAAGAGTCATGATATTTCGAATTGAGTGTGACTACTCAAAAAGGTAAAATGAAAAGTCAATGAATTTTTTATATGAAGCAATTTAGACTGTATGAAAATATGTTATTTGGAATAACACATTAATTTACATCGAAATAAGCAACCATTCCAAGAAGTCACTTGAAAATCTATATATTGTAACCTGTAATTCCAATTTCCCTACATCAAATCAATTCAATATCAATTGATTTTTAATTGTCTACTCTCTTTAAAAATTCTAGTCCTTTTATTTTGCTAAAATAATAATTTTGTTCAAATTATTTTTAGAGATAAAATTTCATCCGATCAGTTTAAGGCCTATTTGCTCGAGAAGAATATTGTCAATATTTTGATTCGATCGACAAGGTTGATATAATGTAGACCGACTTTGGAAGGAGTGTAGCACCTTGAGAGAAAGATGTTCGATAATCTCGTTGATGCCTATATCTTAAGGAGATTTTGTATGACATACCTCGCTTTATCTCCGCTTCAATTTTTTCTTTCTTTTGATTGTACGAGTTATTAATTTTAACAACGATCTTATGACATAAAAACTCTTTCAAGATTTCTTTGTTAGCATTTTTATTACATAGTTTCAATACTTTAATATTGATCGAATATTCTATAATTGTTTGTAGGCATCAATAAATAAATAAAATAACTAATAGATTGAGTCGATTTTTAGTAATTAGCTCAATTTAGTCCATTTAAATTAAAGTCTGCTAAAACCAACTTAAAAGAAGCCTATGAAAGCCCAAGACTAGCTAACCGAGAGGGAGGGGGTTGAATTGGTTATAGTAACTTTTTCAAAATAGTTTTAAATATATAATTAATTCTCACTTAAATGTAGCAATTAGTCAAATATGAAAAGGAACGAAGACTAAGATAAATTCACAAGTATTAAATAAAAACATGAATAAGTAAAAAAGAAGAGAAGTCAAACGATATGATATGGAGGTTCGATCCAATGCAATGATCTACGTCCCTTGTTACCAATCTCTCCGTCACGAGCAAGGCATTTTTCACTATATTGATTGACTTATGGGGCAATCCAACCTTCTTACAATGCTTTCAATGACTTACAGGCCCACCTTTCATTTACAATTTTGAAATTTTCGGGATTTCAACTCGACCCACAAGTTTGAACAATGAGGAGTATACAAGTGAAGACTTTTCTTGCAATAAATGATATAATTGAAGTTGAATACAACAAGAGAAGATGGCTAACACTTTAGTAGATAGCAATGATTAAAGCTCAAGTGTTAGAAAAGAAATACTTTGATAAAAATGATTTTCAAAAGTTGAATCAATCAAAGGTTTTTCTATATATATATATATCTATAAGATGATTGAATAGATAGATTAGTAATATCTCACTTTAAATGCTCATGAAAGTCTTACATTAAATGCAAAATGATCTGATATTTATAGTAGCAAAATGGTCAAAAGTTCTGTTCTACCGGACGAGGATACCGGACGTCCGCTAGCTTACCAAATGGTCAAGTAACCGTTTTTTGTTAAGAAGTCAGAACGTTCGATTTCTTGACCGTTGGACAAACCTGTTATACCGGACGTCCGCTATAGTTACCGGACTCGTTTGCTAGACCTACTGGATGTGTCCTCTAGATCAGCTCGTGTTTAGAAATTTTCCTTCTTTAAATAATATAACAAGATGTAATTTCATGAAGGATGTTTCTAACATGTTTTACGGACTTTTTGACATTTCTTAAAGTATATAATAGGTTCATATTTTTCTTTATGCAAAAATCGTGTTTGTCGTGCGAAGAAACATTTCTTGAGTTTCAAATGACATATATGCCAAATACTAAAGTGTTTTACCTTAACATTTGAAATTAAGGTGTCTAAATCTATTTTCTTCTTAGTTTGACTTTATGAAGTGCTCGTTGTCTTGATGTGTAGCTTGGTTTATACTTTGTCAAATTTTGCGAGAGCTCTGAAAGCATCCTTTTGTCCAAACTTGTCATAAATTTCTATAATCACTCAAATACAATTGTTAAATAAATTTTGTTTGTTATAATCAAAAAGATAAGTCAACCATAGGTCAATAATTTCTCCCTTTTTTATTATGACAAACAGGAGATGATGGAGATTTAATAAGTAAAAAAAAAAAATTATAAGTGACGAAAAAATTCTTCCTATCTTTTGCACGTGTATTCCTCCTTACTTAAGCATTCCTATCATGCATACCATCTCATACGTATATCATCTCATATAATAAATCATGCATATTATTTATGTCAAAAAAAAAATGACAAAGAAGAGAGGAGACATAAGTTTATAATATCATAATGAGTTCATAAAAGATAGAGTCATAATAAGTTCGGGAGTACAAAAGAAAATGCATAAGATAAATTAAAAAGCTAAGGCTAGTAACACGAATATCTCCGGTAGTAAGTCCATTTCCATCAGCCGGCCGGTGGGAGCGAGAAGTTTGGGATATGTTTGGTGTTTCTTCCATCAATCATCCAGATCTACGCCGTATATCAACAGATTATGGTTTCGAGGGTCATCCATTACGAAAAGACCTTCCTCTGAGTGGATATGTGGAAGTACGCTATGATGATCCAGAGAAACATGTGGTTTCTGAACCCATTGAGATGTGGTGGAGTAAAATGTGCATAAAAGTAAGCATAGAATGTATTCTGCTGAGCTTGCATTTCAACCTGCTGTGCAAGAATGACATCCTGCCCAGCCTGGATCGTGGCCTGCTGTGACTGGACATTCTGAAGAAAATCACTAAGCCCATCAACTGAAGTCGTGAGAGAGTCAAGACGCTCGGTGAGTAAATTATACTAATCCTCGGTAAAAGTGAATCCTCGAGAAGAAGATGATGAGGTGCTAATCGGCGGTGGATGCGAGAGTAATGGGACGTCTTCTTCGGCTACTTCTTCTTCGTCCTCAAACAATAATGTGGAAGGACCCAAGGTGGGGTTGAACCCTTTAGTGTAAGCCACCCATTGTCCTTGAGTTTTAAAGATTTTCATACGCTTGAGGGTTTGAATATTGATTGTATCGGTGGGACGACGTTTGATGACGGCTTTATCCTCAAGAGAGACATTGAAGTGTTTGAAAATTTTTGTTAAAAGCATACCATAGGGCAAAGCTTTGGAATAACGAGACGTGTGGATAAGTTTCATAAGATCTAAAGAAATTGTTGGGAAATCTAACCTTCGGCTAACGAGAAATGAATCAAGAATGAAAAAATCAAAACAATTAATCTCATCTCGATGCCCTTTTCTAGATAAGATAATATTTGCGATGATATTTTGCAATACTTTGTAAGATAGAGTGAGTTGATTAGCACTAATTTTTGTGACGTTTTCAAAATCTTTCCCCATCACATGATGACATGCATCACTTGGGTTATAACCTTCTAAGGTCGGATAAGCTTTATGAACAAAAACTTGCGTATCACATTGTTCAAGCCTAAGAATTTCCTGAATAAGAGATTTAATAACGGCGATTCTTACATTTTTAATTAGACAATAGATACTATTGGAACGTGGTGTAATAGACATTTTTGTGTAAAAGACTTTCATGAGTTGAGAGTAAGCATTTTTTCCAATGAATATACCGAAATTCATCCCATTTTTTCAAAGAATTCTTGAATGTGAAAAGCAGATGCTTCAATAAAAAAAGCTGAAAAATCAACATTTTTACCTAGTAAAATGGGAGATTTTTCAAATGGGTTCACTGCCTCTTCGGGTTCGAAATCCATTTCTTCGTCAGAGGAGGGTGTTAGAGGCTGATGTTCCGTAGTTTTTGCCCTTTTTCTAGCTTGCTTTGTTCTTGGCATTGTTTGAATTGAAGCAAAAAAATAAAAACGAGAGTTAGGGTACGAGATTGGGGAAAGGAGAGAAATTTTGCCCTTTTTAAAGTTTTTGATGTGGAAACAAGAGTGAAGGAAG